ACCCTTCTCCTTTGAATTGATGTTGAGATTTTCATAACGATTTCGAAGACTTTCACCTTCGTCCAAAGGAATCTTTTCTTGTTTTGACTGTTCAATGTTGGAATTATCAAACTGTTCCAATTGCATCTTCACATGCTCATATTTTTCTTCTAACTCCTTAATCCTATTCACCAATTTCGGAAGAATAAACCGAGATCTTTCATCAACTCTCTCCTTGTCTCTCCATCTAAAAAAATTACAGTTCGTGGCCTCATAGTGAGGACAAGACCAAAATCGTCTTCCGGGATTGCGATCTGACCAAGACGTCTGCATTTGCAATAAGATTCCATGCTTGCATCGCACTTCCGCATTGATCATTGAATCATTCTCATCCATACACAACTTATTCAACTTAGATTTTGTCATAACCCTAACATTTATACATAAAAATTGTGAAAGAAATTTAAAATCAGAACTAACAATCGAAATAAAAAGGTGTAAATATAAAGAATATACTAAAATTTTACTTTACCTTTTCGAAGTAAGGAGCAATTTAACTTGAAAGATAATGATAATGGAGGTTTTTTTCTTTCTAAAGATGAAGAACAATAAACAACAATAAAGTTTATTTTAACACATGGCCAATTTTTATTGGTCAGTGTTGTCTAAATATTGCACCCACGCGCCTAACATAGGTGAAGTTACGGACTCAGCCACGTAGGCCAAAAAGTGGTAAATAATTAATAAAAAAATAAGGTTCGGGGGGGGGGGGGTAATAGGGACCTTAGTAAAGGTTAGGTGTGTCTCTGGGATTTCGGGCATAGGCTGGGGGGGTACTTATGCATTTTCCCAAAAATAATTAGAAAAAAAAGAGCCACTATTTAATTTTTTAAAGAACTTAAGAAAACTTAATTTAAAAAACTCCAAAGGGTATGAGATTCTCTTTTACACTTCAAGAAAGTTTTTAAAGCATTTGAAGTGCCCGCTAACAAGCGATTTTTAAAGCATTTGAAGTTTTTTTAAATTTTTTTTTTGACTAACTCTTGAAAAGGTATTTAACATAAAAATAATAATTTACAATAATCGATTAAATTTGTTAAGAAAAAAATTAAGTAAAGACACATATTTTTTTAATCTTGTTTTTAAGAAAAAATTTAACTTAAGAACTTGATATAAATGAAAATAACTAGGACTTTAACAAAAATAGATTAAGTAAGAATTATTTGAATCATTTTAAAGATAATATAATTTGAACCAATTTAGTTAATAAAAAAAGAAACCATTTGAAATTGATTAAAGACAAGTGAAAGTTTTGCCTAAAATATTAAGTATGTCTGTAAAGAGTTGATGAAATAAATTTAGTTATTACTTCTGAAATGAAGTTTGGTAGTTAAAGTGTTTCGTAACAATACAAAAGACAATAAATTATATCTTTTAAAAACTGAAATATCCTTAAACATTAAACAACAAAATGTCATTTGAATTACCAGGCATCTTAATATAGCACACATATTTAGATTTTAGTCAGAAACGTTACGTATCCCAACTTTAACCAATCTAATTCTCATAAATATTATGTATATCATCAATTTTTAAATGACTTTATAATTCCTGACTTATAATTATACATGCCAAAAAGTTGTTTTCAAAATCATTTTATATTAAAGCATACACTTTTGTTATTTTGATGTATAATTGTTGATGGATGATTATTGGTGGATGTAATTATTTGTTCATCACAGTCACTTTATGTTAATGCATACACTTAGTTATTCTAATGTATAATTGTTGATGGATGTTATTGTTCATCACATATGCAACAAAAAAGAGGTAAATCTGTTTATGCTTTTGTTAGTTATTGAGGAAGTTCCTCCATTCTTTTAAACTGGAATTGTTTCTCTCTTTAATTTTTGTTATTTAAAAGTTTTAGAATTCATTAGCTATTTTATTGTTTTTAATCTACTCTATTTCATCTTATTTTCGAATATTTGTGGGATGAACATAATGTACATCTCATTTGAAGTAGTATAATTTATTGTGATGCTATAATAATGTAATGGATATTGATAATTTTTATATATTCTCTTCAAACATTATATGACATCTTCACAACTAATCACTCGTGTGAAATCTACGTATCAAAATAATACAATTTCTTAAAACTATTTGATATGATTGTCAGATTGTCCATTTGATGTTAAGCTTTAATTTGGTGTTACACTCCTTCTCTTTTGATTACTTATAACTATTTATACATATTGTAATTGTATTTAAATTATTTACAAATATTTATACTAAGTAGCGTGAAGTACACTTCTGTATTAACACCACTTCATTTATCGCAACCATTTCACTTACTTGTATGATGACTACAACAGTTAAAATGCTAGCATTGAAAATCTAGTTATGAATGTTGTATATATGGCCTATATCTGTGGATCTTCCAGAAAACTTTAGCTGATTCTGATTTAAGTCATATGCTGATGAATCTTGTACTCACTCCGTTTCAATTTGTTCGTTTTACTTTCTTTTTTAGTCGTGTTTCAAAACTCCATATTGAGCGGAAAGTAGCTACTGATATATGTAGGTTGCTTTGGCTTTCACACCCTTCCCAGATACTCATGATCTCCACAGCAGGAAGTAAGACAACGAACATGTCCTCTTTGCAATGTATTGTGAGACCACTGATTGGATGATCGAAGCCAAACTCTTCTTCAGCTCGAGTTAACAAGTCTTGAAATAAAGGATGGCTCAAGTATGATTCTGGCACCACAAATCGCTTCTTCTGGCTCTCTCCTACATACACTGCACAATGCCCTTTTGGAACACCTCCATATGTTGAAGACCTCCTTAAGAACCGATTAGCCTGAATAAATGGATACCCATTATCTCCAGGGATATTTGGTAACTCCAAAATGCTGAAGGAAGAACTTCATATAAACTGCTTCCATTATATTAAATATTTTGATCAATCTACACTCTAATGGTCACCTATCTACATGACAAAGAAGAGAGCGCAGAACAAGGTTTTTGCTTCTTACCAGCAATTGGTCATTTAATGGTTTCAAATATTGGCATTGGTTTGATCCTTTCGGACTAACTTCACCCACAAATATAAGGCCACGTATCAACATGGCCAGCAGGCATCAGTATATGGCTTTCTCTTCGACTCTCAGTAGCAAAACTTCAGCTCTAATTGAAAGCCTGTCTATAGCCTCTTGTATAAATAAACCTTCTTCCATCGACATTTTTCATCATCAAGTACAAGCATTATCTATTCAGCCATCAAAAGGTTCTAAATAGTCTACTTTCTTGCTTCCAAAAGTCTCATAAAACACAATGATCAGTACCAAGAAACTTATCAAAATGGCTAGGAGATGGCAGAAGTTTGCAGCCATGCAGAGGAAGAGGATTTCACCTACCAGAAATGGTAGTGATGCAGACAGTTGTAGTACGTCTTCATCCTCCATCATTGGAATAGGTCATTTTGTAGTCTATACAATTGATCAAAGGCGCTTCGTGATTCCCTTGGCTTATCTTGAAAATGAGGTTATTAGGAACCTTTTAATCATATCTGAAGAAGAGTTTGATCTGTCAAGTTGTGTCCCTATTACATTACCCTGAGATTCAGCCTTCGTGGACTATATTGTTTCACTAATCAAGAAAGGTGTAGCTGCAGGAGATCTTCACAACGCGTTGCTTCTCTCAATTCCTTCATGTTTTAGGTTGGATTTGGACAGTGAGTTGAAATATGAAGGAGGGTCTGACAACTGGATAGTGAACTGTAGGGGTGGTGCTCTGGATGATGACGGTGAAAGGATGGCTTCGTGTGATATATGTGAGATATGGAAGCATACTCACTGCTGTTTGTGCCACCATTATTTGTGTGTGGGGCTTGCTGCACTTCACTTGCACCACCAAGAGCACAGAGCAGCTTGGAGTTTGGTCATTATGGGTCTGCAACACTATTGTGTTATTTTACCCTATGTCTGAAGTTTTGATGATTGAACAAACTCTGGACCTGATCCCAAACGAAACTGTGTTCCGTACAGGAAAACTACAGCTGTCCTAAAACCTGCAAAACCTGTTGTGGTTGGTGCGCGACTTCCACTGCACAACAGGCCCTCACCCAATGAGATTGCTTTGTGTGTTTGTGCTCATTCTATAATATGTCTATTCTTCCTTATCACACAAAAGCTTTTTGAAAATCAAACTTTCACAACCAAACAGGTAATTCACTCGAGGAAATATTCTCTCAAGAACAGCAGGAGACCTGATAGAGTTATCATGGCTCTTAGTCGTTGTTAGGGTTTATATTTCATTGTTCAATATTGTAAGATCTATTCCTATGTTATAAAGGAAGTAGATCGTTTGTCGAAGATTCCGTGTCCTAGCTAGAGTTAGCTAGGTCGGGTTGTTAAAAGTCTATATCAGCTAGAGTTAGTTGGTGTAGTGGGCAACATGATTGTTGCTTAGTGCAGTAACTTTGTTCATTCCTCGATCCTTGAGATTTGAGTTGGTGGCTAGAGTTAGCCTTTGGTGCTCTTGAAGTCTAGATTGACTAGAGTTAGTTGGTTTAGTGGGCAATAGAGTTATTGCTTAGTTCTTTTACTACTGTTAGTAGAGTTGCTACAGTAAGGGGGAGGGATTAAGAGTTTAATTCCTAGGTTACATTGTAATCTGAATCTTTGCTCCGTTTTGAGTGATATAGAGTTGGGTTGAAATTCTGTGAGGACATGTCGTGATTTTCTCTTCCCTTGAGCAAGGGGGTTTCCACGTAAAGCTCTTATGTGTTTTACTTTCTGCATCATAATTCTGTCAAAGGACCTGGTTCATTGACCATTAGTACTGGACTCATCCATTCTCTCATATTGCCTTGTGCTTCTCAATTTGGCATGGACATGATATACTGAACTTTTAGGGACAGACTGAGGCAATTCACCGAGGACAAAATTTGTATAGACATCAAAGGATAATCAATCATGATATATTAGTCATATACTTGTGCAGTTTCTCTGTAAATTTTTTTCTCTTGTTACACGTGTAACTCGATTTTTATCAAAGACAAACACAATAATCAATGTTGATGCATATAGTCTGTGCGTTCCCCTACTTCTCTACACTTTTCTTTAAGCACTAGATGAAACAATTAAGCGTCTGTAATGCCTGCTTCCATTTGTCTATTATTTTTACTTGAAGATACTATTTTTATGTTATTCAAACAGTCACAATATTGTACTTGTAAAGTTTTGTGCTTGACTGCTATTTATGGAAGGGGTTTCCTCTTTGTCACTGTTAGTTTGCTAGACTCAGAAGCATTGGTTAAAATATATTGCACAATCCGTTGATTAGTGTTTGTTGTACTTATAATATCATCAACCAGTGGTAAACCATTTTCTTGGAATCTTTATGGACCGAAATGACAGACAATCAATCATATCATATATATATATATATATATATAAAAGAGAACCTTAATCCCGCCTACGTGGCGCCACCACAGACTAGAATTTCCTTTTAATTTATTTCTTTCCAAAATTAGCCTTCACCGAAAAGTTGTGACTTTTATGAAAAGTTGTGAGTTTTATGAAAAGTTGCAACTTTTACGAAGAGTTGTGACTTTTAAGAAAAGTTGCGACTTTTATGAAGAGTTGCGACTTTTATGAAAGGTTGTGACGTTTATGAATGATTGTGACCTTTACGAAGGGTTGTGACATTTCCAAAGAGTTGTGATCTTTAGATAAGGCACAATAAGCATATTTGTTCACACTACCCTATGTTGCCAATAAATAGAGGAATTTGCTCTCATTTTATTTTAAAACAATGAAAATTTTGTTCTTCTTTTTCTACACAATGAAATATTCATGCACTTTGCTCCTATTGAGTGGCTTACTGACACCATTGTTTTTGTATCAATATCTTGGTGAATAAAATCATTCCATCCTAAGAGGATTTAATTATTTAAACCTCAGGTATTAGAGGGGAATAATTCTTTTAAGGGGACATTGTGTATTCAGTGGACTCGATTTTTTCCTTTCTATTTCATTCTAATTTTACCTATCCTGATTTTTTTTTTACAGTCATTAATTTATGCTTATGATGTTAATTGTTCTTTTTGAGTACATGTTTTAAACTCTGTTGTTTATGTTTCTGCAAAGTTATTGTCTCCAGTTATATTGAACATATATACATATAGTAGGTATATTGATTGTGCAGAAAATAATTATTGTACTCAATTCAAAGAATACATGTTTTGATATTCTATATAAAAGTCTATGACTTAAAAGTACTATATATAAGCTTACATATTATCTATTTTAACATAGATATGAAGTCTCCCACTTATCAATTGAAGAAATTCATTAAGCAAGTTCAAAAGTTATAATTGCTTTCATGTTCAAGCGTAATTTCTTTTTTGAATCTGTGTTCTTTTCTTATGAAATGCCTTTGCTTATATATTCTTATTTTTCTTCTTTATTTTCCTTTTAATGTTGATTAAAGAACCAATGATTTATTATTTCCTGAATAATTCATTCATTAGAGGTTCTTGAGTTATGTGATAATGACAAATAATCAAATTCATGTTGGAATATTGCTAATATTTTCTTAAGAACCTATTTTTTCCATCATTTTTAATGTATGGATATTAGTAAATAATTATTTGCAAGTTCAATGCAATTATTATTTATGTCCGCGCGAAGCGCGGGCAAATTACCTAGTTATTAAGAAATTTCATGCATTTTAACTTACCATCTACACACATTGATTCAAGAAATCATCTATACAGAAAATCAGAAAGAATTGTACCATTATAAACTTGTTGTTCATTTTCGAGAATATTTTATACAATTTCAATTGATATATTAGATATTAAAAATAGAAATTAAAATATATGAAAATATAAGTTTCTAAGCATGAAGAATTGCATTAAAAATGAATGTAATATTTTCAGAGTTTTGAAATATAAATTAAAGTAGTTTTCAGAGTTTTGAAATATAAATTAAAGTAGTTTTGATACTATTTATAATAGTTACTTTATATTATATATGCATATATGTCACCTTATGATGTTAAAGAATACAATATTTCTTTAAAATTTGTGTTTTTAGAACATTCCATATAACTTTTATATTAGATTTGAGATGTATTTGTCTACGTTGTATACTCAACTAAATTATGAGACTATAACTATAGCTTCTACATTTACTCTCAAATTTAGATTATTAGAATAACTTGATGTGTACCAAATTAAAATATCGATGACAAAATAAATTGCACATAATATAAAACAAAAGAAATAAAAGGATTACAATATCAAACTGTATGGTTAAATAGAATAATTAAATCATCCGATGCAAATATATAATCCAATTCTCATACTGCACATGCAAAATCTTCATTTTGTATCAACTGAGAATCTTAAAAATACAAATATCCAAAAATTTCATTAAAAAATTATAATATAAAAGTTAAAAAATTATAACTATAGAAATGCTTAAATTAATTATAAAATGCATAGGTCTCGATCATTACTATAAAATAAATAAAGTGAGTATCTAAACAATGTTTAAATTTGACTATAAGAATCTGATGATATACCAATTCCTGAACATCCCAAAAAATGTACCTTGCACACTTTGTTAACTTTCCAAATCAAATCTGGCAGATCTACAAATCAAAACAATTTGAAAGCAAAAACGTTTCAATAATGATCTTATAAGAAACGAAAAAAGAATGAATGTTTAGAATAATATTATACAATGATTACAAAATATGTTCAAATTTCTGTCGAAAGGAAAGAAACGGAGAATTCACCTCATCATTGCTTTCACTGAGAAGAGAATAATGATTAACAAAATACGTAAAGAATGGTATTTAGATAAATAAAAGGATAATAAAGGAAAATGGAGATTGTAAAGCACTCACGGAAAGAAAAATAAATTTAGTAAGAAAAAATTTGCCCAAAAATAAAGAGGATAAAGCAATTGTGTCATAGCATAATAATTAATATAAATTAGTATAAATTGCTTTCTTTTTTTCTACTTGTACTTTAAA